ATGAAAGATTAGACAATGGCTCACTGTGTTTGCTTTGTCTCAATGTAATGCCTATGTAATCCCTCCAACTTTAACTCTCTCACAGCAGACTGAAAAGAAAGAGTCTTAGACTCTCAGACTTCCCGTGGGTTCTGTCCTCAGGTTTATTTCAGGGAGCAGACAGTCTAATAATGTTGTCAAATAACACAGAGATCAATGTGGTTTAATTGTGGTGAAGCTTCTTCCCGAGGTAGGAGTCGACAGCCAGCTGAAGGGTCCTGACTCTTTCACAGACAGATTGTTTAGTCCTGAAAACAAAAACAGCACCAAAGAAGCCTTTTCACATCAGGTTACGTCATCTTAAATGAGTGCTTAAAATCAACAGCCTCTGAGCATTTTTTATTTTTAGATCTAGATGGACATGATGACAAATCAAATGCAAATGCTGTACTGTAATTACAGGAGGTGGTCAATTATTTACCCTTTCGAATTTCAACAGTCATCTCCTTTATAAGACAAGATGAGGAGATGTATGTTCAAATTCACAATTTAAAGTACTTCAAAAATGCGTGCAAACTCCTGCAAACTGTCTGACTTAGAAAAATACATTAATTGACCATGTTTTGCTCCAAAAAAAGGCCTGTTAGCTTATTGCATGCAAGAGGGTGTACATTCATTTTCTATGCCCCTGATCTATGTAAACGCTGTGCAAAGTATTTATTTACAATTTAATATACAGAAAAGAAACTAAAAGCAGCCTTTTGCACAAAAAAACAGAATAGTCCCACCTCTGACAACTCAAATAGCCAATCAACAGTTTGGATTTTTGGGGTGGCCAATCAGATTTCAAGGGTGGCCCATGCCACGCCTCTGGACATGCCCCTGATGTAGCGGCATACCTTACACTGCCATAACATATTTAATTCAATAACTGCAAAGCTACCAAATAACTAAAAGATTACATTAATAAATAACACATTAAGACACACATTTACATTGAAACCTTGTTTTGGTTAAGAGAACGCCTCAGATTGTTGCTTCACACTTTTTACGACCCTTTCTGTTCAGCCTTTTAAAACACAATGCTGCTACCCCTCTAAATTGTACTCTGACTGCTAAACAAACAGGAAAATTGAAGGTCTTCAAACTTTATGTTTTTAATAATAACCTTGTTAGTGAATCAGAGCTGAACTTGTGGACATGCAGCTCTAAATGCTGACCCTTTTACAATCACACATAAGCCACTTTCCATCACTGCAGTTGTTTTGCAGTGTTTTTTTCTTCCTGGTGCACTTAGTGTGCTATTGATCATTGTTGGTCCAAGTCCTCAGGAATCAGCTTCTATTGATTTCACTTCAGTTTTAAGTCTCTCTTTCTGACCTATGTCTTTTTTTCAGACCAGGCACCGTTTTCAAACATCCCAATCTCTCTGCTGACAGATCACTGAAACACGTCATCAATGCAGCACTTTCATTTATTTCATTTCAAACCTCTTGCTCTTGGATGCAAACCATCGTAGCTATCCTCAGCCACAAGCTGAAAAACTCATGCCCAAAACTCTTCAGAAGCAGGAGTTACATGTATGCTCTGTTGACTTTGTTATATTAGAGACGTAGTTCTCCTTTTCAGGGGTAATAAGCTTCTTAGCCTCCACCGTCACAATCATTGATAAAAATAGCCAGAAGATTCAGCAGTCATAATGGCTTATTATTTGGTGCAGTCAGAGTCAATACTGTGTATGTGTGTGTGTGTGTGTGTGTGTGTGTGTGTGTGTGTGTATGAAAGATATTAAGTAACACTTACATGTCTGTGTTGGTAATGGAGGATACTTAGACCAGATGAAGAGACCCTTTTCACGGTTTTTCGACGTCAGTTTTGAGAAATTACAAATTAAGGGTTGATTATTTCTGGTATTTATTATTTCAGCTGGTTGTGAAAATGCAGGATATTTCTCTCAAGAAAAGGAGCCAAGTCTTATTCTGCTTCCCTTTTTTTGCTCCTTATTCTAAACTTAACATGCTTAATTCTTGAGACTTTCACCATTTTGGACTTAATAGTCTTATGTACGCATGTTTATTGACATAAAAACAAGTATTTTTTTATTGGTTTTATTGGGAAAAAAAAGTCAAATACATTTTTAAATGCAGTCATTTTATTCTCTGCTATTGGCTAGAGTTGCTCTTAGGCACAACAAACTACCTGTTTCAGCAGTGCTCCAAGCTTGAATGTTTTTTACCTTGGTCAATGCTCCACTTCTCCACCAAATAAAGTCAAACTCAGGACTGTAGTTTTTTGTGAAATTGTGCTGACATACAGCCAAACCAAAAAGCACCTTAAATGACTTTTCTGGTTTGGGTTACTATGATTAGATTTTTTATCTTCTGTCTCTTGAGGTGTCAGACCTTATGTCCACAGCTTTTCAGGGATCCTTGGCTTGGTGATTACTCCACAGTTGTATTGGGGGAAAAAGTAGTTTCAGTGATGTAGGATTTATTCATCTGAGAGATACATTCTGTCATTGTGTCCACCGCTTGTTGCTTCATTAGAATCCTTGAAGCTTCTGTAAGAGGAATTGATTGAGGTGTTGAAGTTCAGTGCACCTGGGTACAAAACTTAGACAGACTATCTGTGAGCTGTAGACCTTCAAATAGCTGTCCTGGGGACTCCTTGGCAGTGAATCAATAGGCAGTTAATTTCAGGCCACACTCAGATGCTTCAGCGGTGGCTCATGTGTGGGCACTAACATGTAGAGGAGACAGCTAGTAATAAAGATTTCCACTGCGGCATTCAGATGTGAATTCAAATCAAAAGTGGCTATTCAAAGAGTTTAATTGAGCTGCAAACAAACAGATTAGATTCTATATATTTAGATTAGATTAGGTTTGATTAGATTTTTTCAAATAAGATTAGATAAGATTAGATTTAATGATCCTCTGAGGGAATTCAGCCATTACAGCAACAAGTAATTGTTGTGGATCTTGCTTTTGGAGAAAGGAATTACAGGCTATTTCTGCTGCGCCATAAAAAGTGTAATTGAAGTCCACAGTGAACAAATGGCCTCTGCAGCAGGTCTTATTTCTCTGTCAGTAAGATAAAGTTTGATAACAGAGCCCTTACACAATCTGAAAGGGTCCGGGTTAGACTCATCCTGCCCACGACAGACTTATGACCCTTGGGCCTGAGTGAGAAACTGGAATGTCCTGGTGGCGCAGCGGGTCATCTATCGAGTTCAGGCCCACTCCTTCCTTGTGGGAATGAACCAGGACTGAGCGTGAGGTGTGCTGAGGTAACAGGGCTAGAGAGAACGCTCGATTTCTCTCAGGATGGGACACGGAATAACCTCCCTGAACACTTTAGTTCCAAAGAGATGTAAACAGAAAGAGCAATGTTGACAGCTGATGTGGTGCAGTCATGAAATTCTCTGATGTAAAGGTGTCATTTTCAGAGATGTAGTGGACCAGAGTGTATAGATTCAAGCCCATGACCTTTAGCAAGAATAGTTTTCAAGTTCATATAATTTCATCCCAAAAAAGAAAGTTAATTTTTTTGTCTAAATTGTGTGATTCATCTGGTACTAGTTTAGTTAGTAGACTAGGAATGTATTCCAGGTACACTTGTTCCAAAACTAGATCACACGTTTTATTGGTCACATAAAGCAACATATCATCTGCATTGAAAGAATCTGTAATGTGTGTTATGAAATTATTTGGCCTAATTGAAGCATCTTAAAAGATATAAGCATGGAACTCAGAAGTGATCCTTGGGGTGCAACTTTTTAAATATGTCAAGAAATGAGGACATACCATATGAGTTAAGCTACTTGGTATCCAGGTGGTCAACGCATACCAAATAATAGCAAAATCATCCCATTCAATCTGTTTTAGGACTATATTGTATGTTATGTGCTATAGGGATGGGGTTTTTTTTCAAAAGAGCTAATAAAAGGTCTCAAACTAGAATATGTTACCATGTGTGCATTAAGCCCTAAAACCTCTACACTAACTTTCTGATGGCTATTTACATGAAAGAGCACCCAAGATGCTGTCTTCTGCCTCTCCTGGGAGGAGACAAAGGCTTAAGATTCTCTATAGTTGCATTAGCCCTCTAAAAATAGTGCGGTTGAAAATGTTTTTAATGGTGAAGAGGGAGCACTAATGTATTGTAGCTGTGAAAGATGTGTGATGCATTTTGGCCACAGTTATATATACAAGTAAACAACTCCAAAGCCATACACACAGTCTGAATATTGTAAAATATTCATGCCGGTATTAATCTTAGAGACACTTAAATAAAAAATATAAAGGATAATTCATATTCAGTGTTTTAATTTTTATTGATTGTTAAATTAGTTAAATTCACTGTTATTTAGCTGGGCTGTTAACCTGTTAATTGAGATTTTCTGCATTTTGGTAATTACAAATTCCCCCCCCCAAAAAAAACAAAAAAACAAAAAACAATGAATGGATCCTACATCAAGCAGCTTATTCATGTGTGCCAAAGACATCAATTCTTGTCCTAAAGCAAATTAAACCCCCATAAAAGCCCTTCTGGGTGGCATTGTCTAACATTACAATAAGCATAGACACTGTAGTCTATTTTGAGTCAATCCCACATTAGCTGCCCTGCTGTAATTAATACTCATTAGAACACCAAATGTGTATTAATCCACCCCGAAAAATACGACACAGCAAATGCAAAATTCCCTCACAGTAAAGTGTGCCAAAATCTACCTTGCACAGCTGCTGCAAGACATGTTTTAACCTACTTAAAAAAAAAAATGAAATATTTATTTCCGACCCATATTTTTGACCCACAATAGTTATATCTTCAATAGTATCGAACGAGCACATGGCTGACTTACACAGGGAAGGAAAGGTGGGAAGCACTGAGACAGTTGTTGTTTTTAATTGGATATAACATAAATGGAGTAGAATATTTCCCTTGTCCTTCAAGCTCTCATTAAGTTATATTGATTATGAGCATCCTTCTAACTGACCTGTTGGTTTCTGCTCTCTCCTCAGTGAGTCCAGATGTGGCCGGTGATCACAGACAACATCATCATCATTATCCGCCTGCAGAGGACTCCGAAACGGAGGGCAGATCCAGGAGCCTTGGACTGACAGGAGCCATCTGGGTCTTGATATTGCCATGTTTACATATGCTACTGGCCTTGTAACAGCTGCCCTTTTAGCAGCAAGAAACTTTCAAGACTTGATATCAAGCCTATTAATCCAGTGACGAAAAGGGCCAGTGGATGGAACAAGCTCCAATGTTTAATGGAGCTGCACTTAGAAACAGTGAAGGACACAGCAGAAGTGAACACTGGTGATTGTGTGGAAATGACCGGACACTGTGGCTATCATTCAGCTTTGCAAAGATTTTTTTTATTGTTAAACTGGCATTCCTCAACACTAAACATTACTTATTTATAACAGCTGATGTCAAATTTAAGTAAAAACCTGCTATTAATTTATATAGATGTACTTTTACAATTTACAAAATTATACAATTTGTAGGTTCATAAAAAAAAAATGCCTTGACACTGTAATCTAGTCCGCACGAGACATATTGAACCTTTTTAAATGAGGTTGAAAACTGCAGTGAAACAAGTGAAATTATCCAGAGATTTAAAAAATGCAAGAGGGCATAGTCTTCACTTCATGCAGTTTCAGTATTTTGACATGCTAACATTCAGTTGGTTGGTTCTTTTAAAATTAGGGCAGGAATAACTTCTGTCTATTAATACATGCTGTTTTTTTTAATGGAAACTTATTTATGCCAAAGTGTTTCATCTTGAGATTATTGTGTCAAACCTAAAGTAAACCCTAAGTGTACTGTATGTCTCAATAGACTGTTTTAGGAGGAACAAAAACACAAGCCTCCCTTAATTTAAAATGCTGCCATGTTGTCCAGAGTCCATTTAATTAGAACATTTCTATTTCAAATTGACCCGTAATGCTGCTGCTGTGAGAAATTGTGAAAGGAGAGGAGTGGGTAGGTGGAAATGGGTGGGTGAGAGAAGTCAAATTTCTTTCTTCTTTAGAAATAGATTAATTTCCTCAGGATTTTATTCTTTCAAAGTCTATCCTGCTCTGCCTTCACAGGCCTGGACAGAGCTGATAGCTCCTGCAGCCACTGCTGAGGACATACCTGGTTAGTTTTACTGTACATGCTACCTGACTTCATATTTCTTGGCAGGGAAAAGAAAAAAAAACATTTGGTTCACGTATACCAAGCATGTCCTGCAATAGATGATGTGTGCTAAATATTAGATTATTTGGCTGAACTATGTTCAGAAGTTCTACGTGGACATGATTCCAACATTCTAGTCACTCCATGTCTCCATGGTAATGAGTAATCCTTGGTTGTTTTTTCTCAAGATTTTAACTTATTTATCAGCCCAAGACAAACATAGGAATAGGCTTAATTTACTTTAATAGGACCAATGGCAGCCTGGCATGTTCCGGTCTGACCTATCACAGTGACCCGCCTCTTTTTTTTTTTTTTTTAAATTAAAAATCAGAAACAGAAAATTTTCCCAAGAAACAAGCATTGTTATCTCAAGGGGATAAATGAGTTGAGATCTCAAGAAGATAACCTGAAATTACTTACTATCACAGAAAAATGGACTACATGAAATGTATGGAGGCATGTTTGCTTTGGGCTTCCGTAGTTGAGAAACTGATGTTTGAAGCAAAAAGACAAATCCTCTTCTTCTTAGAGGCTTAAATTAAACTCTTTGCACCCAGATTTAGCTATACAAATTATTTGTGTTTGAACCGTAGAAACAAAATAAGGAAAATAAAAAAGCTGCTAATGTCAAAATAAGACCATGTACACAATGATGAAACATTTAATTAAGTTTTTTTTATTTTCAGGCCATAGGTACAATCTCCTCAGGCAGTGTGTGATTTCATACACTCTCTGATCATATATTAAAAGCTTGTGATCTTCCTCACTCTAAAGCATGCATGGTTATTTTATGTCATCAGTCTTTTCCTCCTTTAATATACCAGGATCAGCTTTTATCATCATATACACTGAAGGCTGTTTAAGCATCTGAAGCCCTTAAGTAGCTCAGAGCATTTTTGACCAAAGTTTATGAAGATATAAGATCACTTTCTATACTTTTAAATTAAATTAGGCTTTTTAGGTAAGATTTACAACCAGCAATAGTCCCTGCTTAACAACCTTAATACAGTTATTTAATTCTCTAACAAGCCAGCACTACTCCTGATAAAAGAAAGTAATTACATTACAGGTTGGCAACATCAAAGTCAGTGCTATTGTCATTTGAACAAGCGTGTTAATGACCATATTAGAGAATAGTGTTCATTTTCTACAGGCATAGAGACAAAGTTGCCTTGAGGATAAATATAGATGTCAGGTTATTCTGGTTCATCTGTACTTATAGGAAAGCGTTTAATTTGATGTCATATGTGATTATTATTGCGACATGTTGAGACAGTTATCCAGAGGAGGGAGGGAAGAGGTCAGATGCTCAGGATGATGATGCTGCTGGTGTCAGTGGTGTACATACATACATCAAAACAGGTGTCATCCCGCAAGCTTTGCAACGTGTCAGATTAATATGTTAGCTCTTGAATGTCTGCATAGAGAGTGAATCATTTATTAGAAAAAGAAATGTCTGTAATAATGCAGCTCCTTTTTTGACAAAAACTACTTTTCTTGCAGGATTTTGTTTTGTACAACACTCAGTACAACTGCTTCTTATGATGACTTTCTTCTGGTTTTGTTTTGTACAACAGTCTTTAAAGGGAAAACATGCTTCTTATGACAACTTTCTTCTGGTTTTGTTCTGTTCATACATGGCTGGCTTTGCCGGCTCAAATCTGTTTTTAATGCTGTCCTCACCAAAGTACAGTAACTGTTGAGATCTCGGAACTCAACTACTACATCGTTGAAAAGGTCAGACATTGCAAGAAAAAGGCTGTAAAACTTTCAGAAATGTTGTAAATAAAACCCCAAAGTAAGTGAAGCTTGTTTGGCAAAGTAAAATGATCGGATGGACTATCCATTAAATCAATGACAGTTTTCACTGACGCCCGTATGTAAACTTTAACAAAAGTACTTACAGTATACCGAAATGATGCACACACAACAGATTTTTAGAAACATAAGCAGCTGCCAAGTATTACGATTTTATTTGTCATATGCAAAGCGATTTCACTCAAACATTTGTATTTGGCTGTGTAATTCTGCTATACTATGAACAGATTGTTGGCTTGGCACTGGACCTGTTTTATAGCAATATCTCTGTGTTCCCATATCTCAGGAGTTAAAGAGGAAGTAGTATTAATTCAATTTTAACAAAACATGGTTGTACTTATAGATGATTGTAGACATACAATTACTCCATGAATGCACATAAGTTAACTTAGCTTGCCCTCCTGCTGTATGCTGAGGCCTTCTGTCATAATCCGTCCTTTTTTGTCACGCTTCCTTCTGGTCAGACTCACAGAGAGAGCAGCCCACCTGCCTGTTATCCAATTACGTCCTATTTCCCTTCTTGGGGATCCCCAGGTGTTCCCGTACCTGCTGAGAGACTTAATAGGAAGGTTTCTTGTGGCTTTAAAAGGAATGAACTGGTTTTCCTCACTACAACTAAATTCAATTTCAAAAGACAAAATGTAAAATATTTATCCAGAGAATGCTGTATATTTATGTTCTGTCCTATCTTTAATATAAACTAGATGACATGTTCATAATTTTCTAATAAAATGATGTAAAATAAAGATTATACAATAATTCTTGATTATGTGTGACGGTCTTCTTTCTGTGCTGATTTAAAGGACTTAACAGTGAGCCAGAATCCAAACCCACATGTCATTTTGTGAGAAATGTCATTGGTTGTTTCAGTGTTTTCAGCAGAATGTCCTGAAGTCTCTTACTCTGCTATTCTGTGCCTTCAATTCACACTTTGAATTCTTGATCTCACCTTTTAATGACTAAAGGTGAGAGTGAGAACTGGCCTGTCCTCGCAGCCATCGACAGCCAGTGAGCTGACGGTCACACTTGTGAGGAAGATATCTGTAAGTCCTTCTCTTGGAGCTGATGTCATTGAACCTGCACTGATCTTTGCCACACACAGAGAGAGACACAAAGAGCATCAAAAGCTGCTTGTCTACTTTTCAAAGGATGGATGTATTCTTGTCAACCATACAATCTTAGCCTTCGTAATACCTCAATGCTAATTGGATAACATAATTTAACACAGTGTGAAATGGAGCATCTCTCTACATCCCCTACCGCTCATGGTTTCCACCACTGAATTTACAGTCTTTCATAATGCACCAAGCCATAAAATTGGACTTTTCTCCACTCTCTACTGAACATTAGTCAGGCATTAAAAGGGCCAAAACCCCACAAAAGAAAGCACCATGTAACAAAAGTAATAGAAGAGCTAAGGTCTTCCTAATTGCATCTAATCATCATCAGAACTTTCCGCTTGCAGGTTGTTCACTCTGGTCAGTGGTTTCTTATGGTTTTTAATAAAAAAAAGTAAATGCAGGGGGCGCTGGATAGCCTAGTGGTTATATTGCACACAATGTATGGAGGCTATAGTCCTTGTTGCAGCGGCTGTGGGTTCGGATCCGACCTCTGCCCTTTGCTGCATGCCGTCATACCCCCAATCTTTTCTCCCAAATTTCCTTTTGCTATTCTGCTGTCCTTTCCAATAAAGAAAAAATTGCACACACAAAAAAAGGAAATGCAGGATGCTGAAGGAAGGGGGATTGCATCAGTGACTGACTTAAACACCAACTCTATTATATAGAGTATAAAGATCATATAAAGATATTTATATGATCATAGTAGAAAAAGACACAATTCACCACATAGCTTAATAGGGTTGTTTCTAAGACAAGTCCCTCATACTCTTCAGATCATTAGTCTTAGTCTTACATTCTTTTTTCACATTTTCAATGGAAAAAGACAAAAAAAAAAAGGTCTGGTCTGTTAATCTTTTGTTTAGTCTTTCATACAAACATGTCCTTTTTAGCTTCTGAATATAACGCTCTGCATGTGTAAAAACAGGACACAGGAAGAAATCATCCAGTACTGTATGGTCGAGCTAGTAGTTACACATGTAGTACTGTGGCTCTGACTGGACAGAAACTTTTGTAAATCCTAAACCACAACACTTAACTTGAAATTGGACCCTATAAAGCGCCAATGAATAAGTTATTGGAAATAGAAATATTTAAAGCTGCGGAAAAAAATAAGAATTCAAGTCAGGCCTTGTATTGATTTTGTTTTCCAAAAGCTTCTAAAGACTATTTTCTAAAGGTTGACCAATGGAAGCACAACATACTCTAATGTCTAAGTAAAACACATCAACAATCTAAATGATTTCACTATTTTGATCAATGTGGACAGGCGCTGAAAGTACAATTATTCTTGGTAGAAGGTCTGCTGGACATTCAAAATTACTGATAATTGGGAGTTTGGAAACCTGGACAATACCACAACAATTCAGGCACAGAGACAGAGAAATGAGTGGTGATTTTAACCAACTCCTCATTTAAAAAAAGAAGTGAATACATTTTGGCAAGCTATCTTTTTTAGTAGCTGTCTTTGTAAAAAGTTTCTTTGAGCAGGACTTTGTCCAATTACAACACTTTTGGTGTCTTCAGAATGACTCAGAGGTAGAGCCTCAGTTAGTGTGAACCGTTGTCTTTGGAGTCTTTTATCTCTGCACACTAAAGAGCGACTCCCGGGACCTTCTAAGGAGAATAGTGCTGAGCGCTGCTCGAACGTATACAGAGATTAATTTCATATTCCCGTTGAGGTTTCTGTTTCACTCAAAAATTATTACTGTGACCTTGACAAGCGCTAACGTTTAGCCTCAACTTAGATGGGCGCTTTAATCATCAGAGTGCAGATGCAGACAGGGCTTTGTATCATTCTTAAAGTTGTTCATGGTAAAGCCGGTGTTTTCAGAAGCTTAACTCTGCACACAGGACGTGACTTTCAATGAGTCAAGGAGATCAATTGTTGTGAAAAATGAGTGAGGGAAGATTATTGCTGTTGTAACCCTGCATTCCCTGAGCAAGTTGTAATAGCCTGACAAGCCTTTTGTACTTAAAAATATTTAAATAGAATTAACATCAACTTTTTCATCTAAATATGCTTAATGTCTTTATTAACACTTATTTTCCTTGGCTTGCTATATCTCCCCATTCAGCAGAAGAAGTCAGTAGGATGGTTAATCCACTTTGTTTTTCCTGACTGTAATGTCTTCATTACTTTAGTAAATCTTAGTACAAACATTCATGGTCACCAAAGGATGGATCCCGATAACTCAGGGGATCCCCTGACTTTTCAAGAAGTGCCACATGCAGGCCAAAGCGCTGACTTAGCGTGTGAAATATCTAATCAAATATTTAATGAGTTGCCACACCTTTTTGAAGAGACCTTTGCATCACCATACGATGAGCCTTTCACACTGTGGAACTTCCTTTAGCCTACTTTTGCTTTGCTGTGTTGAGTTGAAAAAACAAAAACAAAAACAACGGTTTTGAGTGATTTTCTTAAGAATCGGTTCAGACATATATGTGCTCTATGGGATTTTAAACAAGTTTGGTGATCCCTAAAGTTTGGATCTAAGGCCAATCTCTTGTCATGTTGATTTAGTTATGATTATCTACATGCAAAACATCATTCCCATCAGTCTCATCTTTACTGTTTTCTTGCTACACACTACAGGAAGATGGTGAAAATCATTGTCCATATACCTAAACACCAGCATTTGAATATTGAGCGGCTTTATATTTGTAAATGTTTTTGCATTTAAGGCAAACAAGTTAGGTTGATTACATTTATTCTATCATTCTTAACCTTTGATAATGCAGGATTGAATCCAAAAGCTTTGCTCTGATGACAGTTAATCCCTGTGTGCAGTTTTCTCACGGTTCTGAGGTTTTTAGGTTCTTGTGAATTCCTGAGTTCTGAGGTTCTTGTGCATCCCTGAGTTATCTCACAGTTCTGAGGTTCTTGTATGACTATGTGAACTTTTAGTGACATCCCTTTTCCACAGACCTAACACACACATTCATACTATATCTAAGCACATATACAATCACTTACTAACACTAAAGGGTAGCTAAGAGTTGTTCTGGTGCCAACAAGTGTAGCTCAGGTCAAGTGCTGCCATTGACCCGTTCAGTGTAAAAATACAGAGACATTATGGGTAATCAGGTAGATTTTGCAGAGTATTCACAGCGTTGATCCAACAGTAAGGTTAGAAACCTGCATTTATTCATGACTGCACTGTATCATCTCTATTATTCATATATTTCATTTTTCATTTTCAGACAGAAAGAGAATAGTCAGCGTCATGAACACCAAGCTGAGCCTCCCCGCAGCCCCACAGGTACTTTTAACATGTATTGATGTGTGTTTTCAGATATTAATGGCAAGCTGAAGACACAGCACAATGGGACACGCACACACAGGCACACACACCACCACCCGGAGAGAGCAGCCTGTGCCTTCTCACTCTCTTGTTTTCTGTGTTCAAGTCTTTTTTTTTCCATCTGAGAATGAAGTAAACAGTCCCATCAATATAGTGTTTCCCGCTGTCTAGCCACCCACTGCTCCCAGATTATCAGACAGGACTACAGCACAGGTTTCACAATAAATCCTCTCATCCCTTCCCTCCCTGGCTTTCCTCTCCACTCATCTTCTTTTTCCATCACGCTGACTTTCCTCCACACTCTTCTGCAACTTACTCTCCTACCAAGGTGAATTTAAGTTTCACTTGATAACAGTTGAACTATTTTAGCAGTCATTTTAAAGCAAGTAAAAGGGGATTACTTATACAATATGGAGAAATTATATAAAAAAGTGTATATATAACTGCAATATTAATATGACTTCTACATGATATAGGTTTATATTCATCATCTGCAGCGTTATCAGTCATAGGTGTCTGCCAATTTGACCTGAAATCTAAATTTGGCAGACATGCAGGAACATAAGCCTGGAGTGTTGAATTTATCCTCCATGAGCCGAGAACTGGTATCAGGTGTGAGGATAAGTGACCAGAAATAAGCTTGAAAAATGTGCGCAGGAGTCTCAAATTTATGAAAATGTAATGTGATGTACTGCTGCAATGACTGGGGGAATCTGCTGTTTGGTAAAAAAAAAAAAGGGGGGAATCTAGGACAGTTAAAGGGGAGGAGAAACACCATCAGATGACAGAAAAACAAAACTGAAGAAAAGGGTACAAATAAATGAGATTTGTGTCAAATCTCAAATGGTTACAAGACTGGAAGCTACTCAAATAGGGGTATTTGAACAAGGTTGTTCTCTACTGTGCTGAAAAAAAAGAAGAAGAAACAAGACCGATATTTTTCACCTTTTGTACACTTCAGAGCAAAAAAGGTTGTGACAAACAACATCAGATGCCTTCCTGAGGTGTTAAAGCCTGCGGAGAGGATTGTTGTCCTCTTTATCTTCGATGTCTTTATCCCCATGTCTGCTCATGGAGGGTCAGCTGGCAACACAATCCAATATTTCAGAGCGTTCAGCACACAACAGAGGGTTAATTTTGGTGCACGTTGAGATGACAAGACACGCTGTGGCTAATCCTTGAAATATGAAAAATCACATGAGTAGGAGAGGCTTGCTGGTGGAAGAGGGAGGAGGAGGAGATGTTATTAATCTCTCCCTTTGTTTATACGGTGTGGTGCTAAAAATCTCAAAATCAATATCTTCATCAATTTACTAATTATAAAAAGCCCCTGACATAAT